TTTTTTTTTCTTTTTGGCACCATTGTAAATGGGATTGTTTTCCTAATTTCCCATTTAGATAGTTAATTGTTATTGTATAGAAACACAACTGATTTTCTGAAAGCTGATTGTGCATCCTGCAACTTAACTGAATTTGTTTATTAGTTCTAACAGGTTTTTAGAATCTTTAGGGTTTTCCATATATAAAATCATGTCATCTGCAAACATACACAATTTTCTTCTGCTACTGATTTCTAGTTTCATTCTATTCTGTTCAGTACATTTGCTAAAACTTATTTTGTGACCTAACACATGATCTGTTCTGGAGAACAATGCATATTCTGCTTCTGTTGGATGGAATGTTCTATATATGTCTGTTAGGTACATTTAGTCTGTAATGTTGTTTAAGGCCTCTATTTCCTTATTGATCTTCTGTCTGGATGTTCTATCCATTATTAAAAGTGGGATATTGAAATCTCCTCCTATTATTGTATTGCTATCTATTTTTCCCTTCAGTTCTGTCAGTGTTTTCTTTATATATTTAGGTGCTCTGATGTTGGGTGCATATATCTGCATAATTATTATATATTTCTAGCAGGTTGACTCTTATTATTATATAATGTCCTTCTTTGTCTCTTTTGACAGTTTTTGACCTAAAGTCCATAAGTACAGCTACTCCTGCTCTCTTTTGGTTACCATTTGCATGGAATAATTTTTTCTTTTTTAATTATACATATTTGTGTGGTACTGCGTGTTATTATTTCAGTACATGCATATATTGTGCAGTGATTCACTTAGGGAAGATAGCATATCTGTCACCTCAACATTTATCTTTTCTTTGTGGTGATTATGTTCAAGGTCCTCTTCATAACTATTTAGCAATATACAATACAATATTATTAGTTATACTCAGCCTAGAAGATCAGAAGTTATTCTTCCAATCTACCTGTAAAAATATCACTGGGTGGCTTAAATAATATAAATTTATTTGTCCTAGTTCTGGAGGCTGGAAATCAAGATTAAGGTACAGAGTTAGTTTCTTCTGAGACATCTCTACCTGGCTTGTGGGTGCACCTTCTCACTGTGTCCTCACATGACCTTCTCTCTGTGTACAAGCATACTTGGTGTCTCCTTGTGTCCCCAAATTTCCTCTTCTTAAAAGGACACTAGTCAGATTGAATTAGGGACCCCTAGCTAATAGCCTCATTTTAACTCAATCACCTCTTTAAAGATCCCAGCTCCAAATACAGTCACTCTGAGATACTGAGAATTAGAACTTCGACATATGGATTGGAGTGGGTGACATAATTCAGCCCACAACAGAATCATATGCTCATTTGTGTGGGAACAGCCTACTAGGTCCTCAAGAGTTAAAGAATAGATTGACATTGATATAATAACTAATTTTCCTGTTTCCATTCTTGCCCCTATAAAACTATCATCAACACAGCACCTATAATGACTTAAAATGTACATCAGATTGTGTCACTGCTCTAATGGCTTCTTGTGGTGGGCTTAATTGTGGTACCCCAAAGTTGCCCACATTTTAATTCCCGGAACCTGCGAGTATGTTACTTTACACTGTAACAGAGATGTTGCAGATGTGACTAAGAATCCTGAGATGTGGAGATTATCCTGGATTGCCCAGGTGGACCCAATGTAATCACAAGTGTCCTTATAAGAGGGAGGCAGGAGAGTCTGGGTCAGGGAGGGAGACAGAACAGAAGCAGAGTTTGGAGTGATGCAGCTACCAGTCAAAGAATAAATGCCGATGGCCTCTAAGTGCTGAAAGATGCAAGGAATGGATCGTCCCCTAGGGTCTCCGGAAGGAACCAGCTGATACCTTGATTTTAGCCCCATAAAATTCATTTGGCTCTTTTGACCTCCAGAGCTAGAAGAGAATAAATCTGTGTTGTTTTAAGTCACTAAGTTTGTGATAATTTTTTTACAACAGCAACAAAAAACTAATGCACTTCCCATCTCACACACTGTAAAAGCCAATGTCCTTAAGATGGCTGTGAGATCCTCCAGGACTGTCCCCTGTTGCCTCTCTGACTACATCTCCTGCAGCTCCCCCCTCCCTTGCTCACTCTGCTGTAGCCACACTTGCCTCCTTAGAGCTCTGCCTCAGGACCCTTGCACTTGCTGTTCCCTTGCTGCCTGAAATAGTCTTTCCCCAGTTATACATATGGCTCCCTCCCTCACTTCCCTCAGGATTTTATTCAATTGCCTTCTTCTCACTCAGGCCTTCCTTGGCTACTTTACCTAAAGTAGGAAACCCTTCCACTGTCCCCACCCACACACTGCCCATTTCCCTTCCTGCCTTTATTTTTCTCAATAGCACTTTTCACCTTTTAAACACCACACATTTTATCTCAATTATTAAGTTCTCCCACAAGAATGTGAAATCTATGAGGGCAAGAGTTTTAGTCTAGCTTGCTCATAGTTATATCCAGTGCTAGAATATACCTGGCCCAATAAACATTTGTTAAATAAATGAATAAATAATCCAGTGATTTTTAAAAAATTGATAATATGCCTCCAAGACATGCTATAGAATTAATCCTAAATGCATACAGAGTTTTGGAAGAGAAGAAGAAAAAAAGAAAAGAATCCCACCACATCTACAAGGTTAAATGAAAACTACTTCTATTTTTGTACATTTATGTTCTTTTATTTAATTTAAAAATTTGTGTGCTCCTTTAAAATCAAGATATATCTTAGGCACAAATTTAGATATTGAATGTAAAACTTGTTGCCATATTTGAGTAAGAAACCCTTCCCTTTTGAAGAAAAGCATCCAAAGGTGAACAGGATTCCTGGTGGTTAGTTTGCATGATATCAAAATAAAAGAAAAAAAAAAGATGTATCTAAATTTGTATCTATTAAAAATGATATAAGTAATGGCTTGTACTTATATACCTCTGTCATAAAATAACAAAATATACTTAAAATTATAAATAAGATGCTAAAACATCTCTTTCAAATTATCAGAGCAAGATTAATCAGATTTTAGAGATAAATGTATTTTATTATATTAATATAGTTGAATTTTGTGTTAAACTTGTTTTGTTACATTTCAGAGCATTTGAAGAACATTTGAGTTCTTCAAAACATGGAAATGTTAGGTTACTTAAATGAGATTACCCCTTACTCCAGTAATGTTTTATAATTATAAATCTGCCCTATTCTGTCCTATCATAGAACTCATGCTTCCAACTTTTGTTAGATATTCTCAATTTGTTTGTTTTCAAATATTAAGAACTATCATTGAATCTGTGCTCTTGGCTGCATGCCTAAAGCTCGGAGTTAAAAAAGACATAGGCCCAGTCTTGTAGGATCTTGTAATCCAGAGAGGACAGAGGATAGATCCCATGGATAGAGTACAGAGTGAGGGACACTCAGGGCTCTGTATAAAGTGCTGTGGGATCAGAGGCTAAGCATCTAGACAAGCCTGAAGGGGCAGGAAGGTGTCATGAATATCCTCCAGGCGATGAGGATTGCCCTGAATTGTGAACAATGAGTAGGAGTTACTGAATAAGGTAAGTGAAATACTTTATGCCTCAGATTAATGTGTCTGTATCTTCCATTACTTTCAAGTCTGATGATTTATTTGAAATAAGTATTCATAGAATCAAATTATCACTCGAAAGTATTCCCAGTCTATTCACAGCTCAGTCTATTCATCCACTTCTTCAAAAGGAATGAGTCTTCTATATCATTAAAATCTCCAGGTGTTAAAAAACAAACACAGCAACTTACACTTTCCATTAAACCATATAATATTATAGCATATGCAGTATTTTAAAAGTTCAGTATTAAGAAGATTTGTAATTAATGTGAAGTTGTATGTGTGTACTCACATGTTTTCATTTCTTTGATTATCTTCAAATACATACAGGCTAAAAAGCACTTAAGAGTGTTTGAATGTGTTCCAAAATTTTTCATCAAAACTGTACCCCATTATTCACAATATTTTGTCTTCCAAACCATGTGAACATAATAATTTATATTTTCTCTCTTTTTAATGTCTCAGAGACATATAAAACAGAGCTAGTGATGCACCACACCTCTGTAAATGGTGAAAATTCTAATCAAAAGCAAAGCAAATTTGCATTTTATCCTGCAGTCTTCTTGTGGATAAAAGTAATAATTTCTGTTGCAATTTTTGAAACATAAGAAATAGCTTATAATTTTTCATTACTGTTTTTATTGATCCCTAGCATTTTAGGAAAGCAGGCTGAAAATCATTGTTCTCTTATAAATTTGGAGAGTACGTCAGAAAATTGAAATAAGCTGATGGCAGGATTGTTAGAAAAAATAGTTAGTTTTGATCAAAGGTGATATTCTCTACACTGTCAGCAGAGGTTCAGTTACATGCGTGAGCTTTCAAATTAGTTAGTTCCCTCTACAATTCTTGCATTAAAACAATGAAACAAATCTATTCCAACCACGAAACACTGATGTTCACAACCTTCACTGCTTATTGAAATAGCATTTATACCAATAAAAGGATTTGTCTTAAATCTTGTCTTGAAATAGTTCTCAAATGAGAGCGCAACTTTGCTGTTGTAAATTGCCTTCTTGATAAATCTACAAAATATTATCTATAGAGAATTTTTGTGAATATTTAGGAAATTTGAGCATTACTATAATCTTTAATAATTAATTGATATTGTTATCCTAGAAAAGCTTAAATTGTTCCTATTTTTCCATTCTCTTATTTTTCTCTTCCTATAACATTTTCTTATTTAGAATCTATGCATAAGAATCAAAGAGGACCAAAAGGTCCAAATTATTTTATTAATTTTTTAGTCACAGGTACTTGTGAATCTCATTAAAATATTATATTTAACAGTTCTCTAATTCAACCATTGGTTTATAATCCTCAGTGCATATGTCTTTATAATTGGCATGTTAGTATTTTTAACCAAGAATTCTCCCCCATTGCTGCCCCTACTCTCTCTTTAAAAACAACCTAGATTGATGTTACAATTAAAATATTCTAAAACTGCACTCACTTTTTTGTCTTTATTGTATTTGGCAAATATCTCCTGGGCTCTCTCCTCTCCTCCGTCCGTGAACAACATGATAATCTTATTGCAGTTGGCTCTGGAAACATTATACTGTCAAAACAAAACAAAACAAAATGTATATCATCCATAATAAAATATAAGGAATGTAAAGCAATATGGGAACAGGATGAGCAGGTTGCAAGTAATGAGTAAAATATCTGCTCACTAAATATATTCTAAGATCAAGCCAAGCCCATCCCTTACCCTGGGCCTCCCCCTCCCGCCCCGATGGCCAAAGGACTCATGATCTCACTTCCTTCAGGTGTTTGATCAAACGTCACCTTATCAGTGAAGCCTTTTTTGATAGCTATGTTTTAAATTGCAATGCCCCCCAGACTGCATTTTTCTTCTTCGCATCTTACAGTCTTTTATATATAATATATGTTTTATTTATTTGTATATTGTGGGCTTCTCCCAATAGAATATAAGCTCCATTAGTGCAGGAAGTTTTGTCTTTTTTGTTCAGTGTTGTTTCCCTGCCTAGAAAGTGCCTAGCACATAATTATCTCTCAAAGATTGATTAATAAATCGGTATTAATAAATGGTTAAGTCAATTTTATGCTTCTATAATTTTACAGCAAAAACAAAATATTAATTTAAAATGTGCGTACACTTTCACATATATTTCCAATTTATTTTCAAATATTTCTTCCTTTCTTCCCTCCTTATTCATCCTACTTTATCCTACTTTATTCATTCCACATTTCCAAAATGACAAACCTGATCCCCTAACGCACATGCCCTTTCATTCCTATTCCCCAAATGGTCTCCTATCCTCTCTCAACCTGATGCACATATTCTAATCCTGAAGGAATCAATTCCAGGAGTAAATCCTTTTAAACCTGAAGGTCTCCAAAAGAGTTAGACATAGGAGAACAATGGATTATTACCAAAACGCATTAACATGAACAATTAATTTAGAAAGCTGGACTTCTTTGAGGTCTAAAATTATAATTCTAGCTTTTCTACTGTTGTGAAATGTGTCTGCTTAAATGCCGAGAATATAAGATCACACTAATTTATGAATGTTCGGCTTCTTTTAAAATGTCAACCCTCTAGCCCAATACTGCCCAAAAGAAATATAATGTGAGCCTAATATGTAATTTAAAAATTTCTAATAGCCACCTTAAGGAGAGTAATAAAAAGTACCCCAAATTAATTCTAATAATATATTTTATATAACCTAGACATCCAAAACATTATCAATTCAAGAGGAAATCAACATAAAAATTGAGATACTATACATTTTTTTCTTTCATAATGTTTTAAAATTCAGTGCACATTTTGTACTTACACCATATTTCAGTTCAGATCAGCCACATTTCAAGTGCTCAAAAGCCACATGTGATTGTGGCCTTTAAATAACTAATATTTTTTAAATTGTTAATTCTTCTTTAGTGTTCAAGCTCATTGAAGGTCTATATTTCAACTTATTTTTAAAGGGAGATAAACTCAATTTTCTGGTGTAAAAATTAATGGACAACATTTTGCTTTATTGATGAAAAGATCCTGTTTCATATAATCTCACCCCATTGACTAGGCTATTAGAACGGTGGCAGTGAAAGCTTTTAATCAAGCACTACCAAAACACAAGTATTGACTAATACGATTTGTCACATTTAAGCGTGGTTTGAATGATAACCTATCTGAAAATCTGACTATGCAAAAAGTAACATATTTTATCATCAAAATACTTTTGTGAAAGTTGCCTGAAATCCCTTAACTAAAATTAATTGCTCTGATGGTTTGTCTTTTTTATCTGCATGTGTAAAATGGGCAAAATAACATGTATAAAAGACTGTCTGTTAGAGTGATAAAGTAATAGTTTTACCAAAGGACATAATTTTATTTTTTGAGGTATTGAAGGTATTATTATTACTGAATGCAAATATCGATGTAAGTTTACACACTAGATCTTGCTAATCATTTGTATGTTTGTGTAAATAAAGTTATAATAACATTTCCCAGGGAAGATACAAGGACACTTCAAAAAGTTTGTGGAAAAATAGAATTAAAAGGTAACACACACACACACACACAAAGATAACACAAATCTTTCCATGAACTTTTTGAAGACCCCTCCTTAGGACACACACAAAGGGGAAATATAGGAAAAATAAAGATATGTCTTGCTTTCAACATGATTTTTCCTAGAAGTAGTCTTCTGAGGACTTGTAGTGGAGAAAAGTATATCATAGCAAATTTTCTGTGCATTTGCAATTCTTTAAATAATCATACAGTCAAAACAAACATAACTGGCTTTTAATAAATTAAGCAAAAAAAGAACTTATTTCAAAAAATTTACAATTAGTAGAGTTGGTACTTTATATTAACATGGCATTTCATAAAATATTTTGTCTACTGTATCCCTGTGTGGACAGTACACAGTGCATCATCTACTCCACATGCACTCAAAAAGTTTTTTGAAAAATGCCTCTCAATATATTTGGTAATATTTTATGAAATGCTACCTGAAGAGTAATTCAAATATGAATTTAAGGTTTACTATGGGACTAAATGATATGTCTAATTCTATTTGCTACTTGCTTCAGTGATCTTAAAGGTAAATTTTGTAAGGACAAGCAAAAAACAGAGACTGGCACCATGTGATAATAAGACTAGAAGTGTCTGAAAGAAATAGCAAAATATGTTTCAACTTTGAATAACGCAAGAAGCTATGACATTTGGGAAAATTATTTAAAATGAAGAATTTCAAAACATATGGGATGTGTGGAAAGCAGAACATATGAGACTTACTTAGGGAATAACTGAGAACACATTAAAAATCATTTACAACTGTGGTAAAGGCAGTAGGGAGGCAGATAGGAGGTAAGTCATATTTTATCAGCAATTAGTAATGAATGTGGGAGTTAATGTGGCCTCTCTAGAGAGACTGTCTCTGAAATAGTACGTTAGGCTTGAGACCCTGATCATTTCACAATTGAAACCTGAACAGGAGGGAATGAAGTAAGGCAAATTAACAATACTAAGAAGGATAATTAAAATGCCAAGATCTGGAAAACTTGATTAGTGACTCAAGAAAAAGAATTTTTATTAAAAAAAAAATAAAAATAAAAACCTTACATTCCTTTCCTAGAAGATGCATATAGTATCTCAATCTAATATTGTCAATTACATGAGTTTCAAAGTTTTGACCTTTCACTTTTTATTAATGAACATACAACATTTAACAAACATATTCACGTCACCAAAGATATTTTGCCCTGAAAATGGCAATGCTGAATGTCTTTTTCTGTCTCCTTACTTGCTTATCGAATGGTGTCTGTTAAATAACTCGATCTCAAACTCAACACATCTGAAACTATTCCTGCCCCACATTCCCTCTGTCCAGGTTCCCCTGCCACCACACACCTAGTAGTGCAGTTCAGAGACCTTGGAGTCACCTCATCCCCTCCCATTCTCAGCAGCCCCTCCTATGCCATCCAGTCAGTGACCATGTCACTCTCTTTACTATCTCTTTACTTCTGTTCCCACACCCAGATCTCTATAACAGCTTCCTAACTTAGAACACTCTGAGCATGTCATTCTCACCACTTCATTAACTGATACCTCATGGCCTTTCCATTTCCATTGCTGCTCCTATATTGCTTATGTCCCAGCTCTGCCAAACCATCTGCAATTTTTTAAATGTGTCATGTTGTCTCATACTACTATGCCTTGTCCATAGTGTTCTTTTTATCTGAAATAATTCTTCCTCTCTCACCTACCTGTTTAGATTCTACCTATTCTTCAAAATCCCATTTTCAAGGAAATTCCATACTGCCCTTACTTCTTTGGGTAAGTGGAGCCTCTCCTCCAGATGTATGAATGCCTGGCAAGGGCACTTTCACATTGTTCTATGGATGATGATTTAGCATGTGCTATGGGTCAAATATGTCCCCCAAAAGTTCATTTATTGGAAAATTCTTCTCCACTGTAACAGGGTTAAGAGGGTGGGAAATCCGATTATGGTAATTGAAAGGTGCTGCTGTTAAGAGGTGATTAGATTGTGAGGACTGTACACTAATGAATGAATTCCATTCACAGAGTAATGGGTGTGGTTCTGATGGCTTTATAAGGAGAGTGAGTGAACAGGTTAGCTCTCTCTTGCTCAGCCCATTCTTGCCATGTGATACACTGGTCACCATGGGACCCTACAGAGTTCCCAACCAGAAGTAGGCCCTCACCATGTGTTCCCTGGACTTTGGACTTCCCAGTCTTTAAAACTGTAAAAAATAAATTTTGTTTCTATATAAACTACCCAGTTTCAGGTATTCTGTTATAAGCAACAGAAACAAACTAATACAGCATGTTATGCTGGACCTTCCTGAGAACAGGTAGTCTTGTTTACTTCTGTTATTCCAGCACTACTACTATGATAGGAAATTGTGACACACTCCATAAATATTGGCAGAATGAACAAATGAATGAATGAATCAATCAGACATCTCAGAAACTGTTTAGAATATTCACTCAGGGAACAACAAAGTCAGGTTTACAGAAAAGACCAAATGAAAGGCTTTATTTTTTCAGTGACTTAGCTAATATGATAGGAATTATGAACTGATTCTGTAACCGACATTGGCTAATCATTAATTATAATAATAATGAGCATGACTCCATCATCAAACAGCAACCTACACTTGCATGTGGTGTGCTGCATGCCAGGTCCTATGGCCAAACCTATTTGCAACCCTCTGATGTATGTGCCATGCTGACCCCCATTGTACAAGTGAGGAAACCAAGGTACAGACAGATTAGGGCCACACTCTCAACCACTGTAATAATGCCGCCTCATGAGAGATACAAAATTGAAAAATGGCTCTAGCTTTCAAGTAGTTCAAAATGAAAGAAGAGGACAGAGCCATTTGAAAATATTAGTCCACAGTGTGAAATACGTGCTGTAACATGGGGCAGTAGCATGCCAAAGTCCTTACTATACACATTGATGCATGATTTAGGGGAATCTTCATTGAGAAGGAATCCTGCTCTGGGACTTGTCTTCCTATTCACAACTTAAAGACCAAAACTAGATGTTTAAAACTGAATATTTCCAGCAAGCATTTGATGAGTGAAAGTGCAGGTTTCCAGAAAAATATTGTAGCAACTGAGATAAGAAAAACAAAAGATATTTACATAGGCCAACTAAGTTTCAAGTACTTATTCAAAATTAAATTAAATCATTAGCTTATAAGTAATTTTTTAAACAGTTTGAAAAATATGAGGAAAGAAAAGATCTAAAAGAAAAAAATCTACATTTTTGTATACCTTTTGAATTTGGATTGAAAAATAAAAACAGTTCAAAGATTTCTATTGCCTGGATACATCTACTTTCTAAATATATTAAAAATAGCACTGTTATCTAACCCCAGACAGTAGTAACTATCAGGATACTGAAATTCAGATGCTAAAATTGAATAATTTTTAAAAAGTCATAGTATTCATACTTACATTAAGCAGCTGTTCAAAGGCAAAACTAAAGCCCTTCTTATAATCTGTGATTCCTTTTGCTGTGATATTATTCACTGCATCTTTCAACACTTTCTTATTTCTTACATTTGCTTGGACAAGGTGCTGAAAACAGCTTACATCCTGAGCATTGCTGTTAAACTGCAAAAGATAAAAAAGTAAGTTTATAAATGAATATTAAAATCAACCATACAACTTTCATTGAACTTGTGTTTTATACTTCTCAACCCCATTGCATTCCATTCTCTTTCAAAAGGAAAAAGTGAGTAGATCAGGAAGAAACACACACTAAAGACCAAATGATAATTTTCATCTAAGCCATCAACTCCTACTGTAAACCTTGAGCCTATCGCCTGAAGCTTGCTTTTCCTGTTGATAAATTTGGGATTTGAGTTACGTGAGGTCCTTTCTGATTCTCAAATTTGATGAGCATGTAAACCAAAATAAATAAATAAAAATCCCAAAACAATGAAATATATGAAATATATTCAAAATCCAGAAGTGCCATGAGATGCTTGCCCAGGATGAAGGGAGAAGTTGAACATTTTAATACCCTTTTATCAGGAAAGACTGGTTGGAGCAACTGTATGGAGAATAGATATTCAGTAATTTTGAAATTTGATGGTAGAGTCTTTCTATGGAGTCTAAAACAAGAAAGTGATCTGAAAGAATCAGGAACAATTGGTGGTCTTTTAGAAATAACCCTCTAGAGGTTATATATAGAATGAGGGGCGATCATGGAGGCAGGATGAAGGGTAAGCAGATCACCAGACAGTTATTGCTGTGGGCAATGAGGCCCTGGGCAAGAAAGAGCAGAGAACATAATCTCCAGTAAATCCTGCCCAAAACTGAAGGTTTAAGAATATTCAACAAAGTAATTTCACCAACTCTATAAAAATCACTCACATAGTTTATTGGATATTTCCCAAAAAATCCAGAACAAAGTACTGCAATAAGGTCCAGGACACTAAGATGAGTGGGATCATCATTTAACTACTTCTGCAATTTGTGTAAGTTCCTCATTGTTCTTGGGGCCTAGACTGTCACTCTGCAAGAGGAGAATAATAAAAAAAAACAGACTTTCAAGAAGGCAGGGGACTAGCTAGATAAAATATTCTCAGATCACAAAGATTCAAGGGATCTTCAAAAAGTTCATGGAAAAGATTTTTATTATCTCTTAAATCTATTTTTTCCATGAACTTTTTGAAACACCCTTGCATAATTAAATAATTTTAATGGGTGAGCCACAAGTGATTTCATATTCTTGTGAATATAATGTGTCATTCTTCTTTCGCTGAAGATCGCTGAGCCCAATTATAAGGTGCACTGCACAATTCATCAAGCCATTAAGCAAATACTTACTAGCCACTCGTTATATGCTAAGAATCAAGCAGGTGATAGTTTGTGCTTTCAGACATTAAGTAAATTATTCACACATACACACACACACAAGTACACAAACACACGCATACCAAATATATAAGCATACACTTACATGGTATTTACTATGTGCTGTACAAATACTAATTGTTTCCTCTTTGCAAATGCTCTAGAATATGAGCAGTATCATTTTCCCCATTTTATCCATGAGGAGACTTAAGCATGGAGAGGTTAAATAACTTATCCCTAGCCACATACCTCACAAGTGATAGAGAGTCAGGATTCAAACCAGCACTGTGGCACAGGCCTGTGATTTTAACTGTTCCTGCACCGCCTCTCAATATAGTACGATAAATTATGGTTAGTTCTGTAAAGCAATATATTACTATGTTGTAGGAGACAATATCAGGGCAGGGGTTTCTAATTTGTGACTGTGAGCAGTCGAGGAAAAATTCCCCTGGGAAATGGCACTTCCTGTGATTCCGGAGAAATGTTCCAGTGAGGAACATGGAGGAAGAACATTCCAGGCAAATAGAATAACACGTGCAAAGGCCCTGTGCCGCGTGCACGCATAGGGAAAAAGCTTTTTAATGAAATATAGAGGAGAGTTTAGTTTGGTCACATATGAGGACAAATGATGTATAATGAGGGGAAGGCAGGGGCTAGAGCATGTACAATCCAATGAAAATGCTGCAGAAGTGTGATTTTTATTCTCTGTCAAATGGCAAGTTGCTAGAGGATTTTAAGCCAAATGAAAAATAATTTAATCTAGAACTTTAATTGTATGGAAAATAGATATAAGGTGAGTAAAATTTAAGGAAAGAAGGATCATGAGGAGGCTATTGTAGTAACTTAGATGAAAATACATAGTAGCTTTGGTATTCATGGAGATGGTTAGAAAGGGAAGGATTCGAGATATATATTTGAGAGTCAATAGGACATGGTGGTGAATTTAGTATGTGTGTGAGTAACTGAGTGGTATCTTGAATAACAGCCAGGCTTCTGGCATGAGCATCTGGCTGGCTGGAGGACTGGAAGAATGGCCGGTTCAGGGATAACTGAGAAATGGGAAAGAGAAGCACACAGAGTTCAACTTTGGGTGAGATTCCAATATATGTGAAATATGCAAGCAAAGATGTCAAGAAATGATAACATTTAAAGCATGAGGCTCAAAGGAAGTCTTGGCTAAAGATTGAAAAAAAAAAAGAAGGCTTCAGCATAAAAATTTGGGTTAGAGCTATGTGAATAAAAGTGAAGCAGAGTAGGAATACCTGAGAAAACTGAGTGAGAGCTAGTTCTCAGGGAGACAAAAAGGACATCAGGAGATTGGACTGTCTTGGATGATGAAAGGAAAAAAAAGTGTCTCAAGAGGGAGACATTGCAGTGCATAGACAGAGAAGGTGAGGACTTAAAACTGCCCATCACAGTCATCCACATGATGCACGTGGTTTCTGTGGGGGCAGAACAGACAGAAGGCAGCAGCATGTGCCAAGGCCAACCTTCAAAGTGCCTTGGCTGGGAAGCAGAACAGAAAAACAGGGTGGCACCTGCAGGGTGGACCTGGGGTCAAGAAAAGTCTTCTTTAAAGTGAGGGGTCACTAGAGTATCAGAGGATTGACATTGAAAAGAGAAGGGAGAAAAGTGTGCAGGAAACAGAAAAGAAATGAAAAACCACATTTTGGGCAAGGTGGGGAAGGATGGGATCCAGATGGCATGTTGAGGAACAGCTCTTTGGAAAAATGCATATCAGCTTCATTATTGTAGGAAAGAACAGTGGAAGCTGAGTAGAAATGCAGGTGGTATGCAGATTCGGTGTTGACAAGATGATGAAGTCACTGTCTGTGGCTTTGTCTCCTTTAATGAACAACGAGGCAAGGTGATTAGGATAAGGTAAGGGAGGAGACGGAAAGTCTGGAGAGAAAGGAGATGAAACAGGAAGTAAACTGTCCCGCACACATAAATAATTTCAGCCCTTTCTCATTTTTATTTTGAACACTACTTTTAGGTACATCGTATGAATGAGAATAAAGTTCCAATACATTTATTTACTGTTTTCTTTACAGTCAAACGATGAGTCCCACTGCCTCTTTCACCACCCTTCCTTTGCAATCTTATTCTACATGTTCCATTTTGAAGACAAACGAATCTTGAGAATTCCCCCATATTAGTTTTTTAAAAAAAAATAAAAAGTTTGTCAATACGTTAATAGTAAAATGTCTGACCTTAGAAAATTATTAGAAACAGTTGCAGGAAATGTTCCTGATTTAGTTAAACCGTGAATCATCACAAAGGTACAAGTTATGCAGAAATTGAGCCCTGAATAATGTATTGTCCTAAGTCTTTCAATTGACCTTGACCTGCTTTTAACACAGAAAAGTGAAGCATTTGCATTAAGTCAGTTTAACATAAACCTATTAAATGTAAATTCAATTCATTAAATACAAATTCAGTGGTGTATAACAGAAATAATTTTATTGTACTCATAATAAAACTCATAAATAATGCAGAGGAAGGAATAACTTATGAAGTATAACTCCCTATAGCAAATCTTATTCTCCTAGGAAAGTGATGAGAAATTTTTAAATTCTAAATTAGATAAGAATATGGCACAGACATCTTAGATAGACACATCTGCTTTTAGAATATCTATGTCTATCTATCTACTTACCTACCTACCTACCTACCTATGTACCTATTTAAAAAAAAAAAAGATTAATTTTCATGAACTAAAATGGCAGTATTTGGCAACATGTTTCCAGATATGAACTTAAAACCACATATTAAAAACCTTAGAGCACAAGTATAATAAGGTAACATTACAAAGCTTGGAAATTGTGTATGGTGAGTGAAAAGATAGATTTAAGGAGCCCTCCTTTTTTTATGTATTAAGAAAATATTTGTTTTCAAAGTGTATACTTAACACTGCAGAGTCAGAAATCTGAACTAAAATTCAGTGATTCAGTTTCTGATCCCATAAAATTCAACCAAGTAGGTCTCTGATTACAGCTGCTAAGACAAATCTCTGCTAACATGTTTTGGTAGGAAGGTGTGTGGGTTAACATGAGCATCTGCAGCAGAAATGACGGAGGACTTTACCTTTACTCCAGCATTTGGACAGTCTTTCCTTTTCCCCTTCCACATACCTTGTTCCTCTGCCTATGACTCTTTTCTTCCCTTCTTCACTCAGTTGTTCACTTAGTGCAACATCCTTTCCTCATGTAAGGCTTTCATGACCTTCCCTTACTAGACGAAATCACCCTATCATAAGCTCTCCTAAGTCTATGTCTCTTTTTTACAGAACACATCACAGTTATAATCTGACATTTCTCGTGTGATATCCTAACAGACTCTTCCATTGCATTATTAGCCCTCATGGCCAAAGAAAATGTCCATTCCGCCATTGCATCTTCATTACTTCACTTGTAATAGTTATGCTGTAGATATTTACTGAATGAATGATGAATTTTCCATTTGATTCCTTGGATGTGAAGTATAAGAAAATTAGAAGCCAGTGCAAAATGTGGATCAATCTAGCTACAGACTTGTAAGTAGATGATCTGTGTTTTAGCTCTGAAATATGTTGCTAAACTGGTACATTCATAAATATAAATATTCTGTCCAAATAGACACTGCTAAAATAGTCAAATTACAAATGTGTAAGCACATAGTGTAGAGCCTGGCACATAGCAGATATTAAACTGCAACTCTGCCATTTAAAAAATTGTTTTAGTTAAAAACATGTGTGCACTCAATACTGAGAT